CCACTGATGTGCCCCACTCCCCCCCAGCTCCGCGATTTTCGCCGCCATCGTGACCTACATGAAGTACCTGGGGGTTAAAACCAAACTGGGCGAGAGCAAGAAATCGAAAGGGAATTTCTTCCGCAAGAAGGTGAGATGCTGGGGGTGGGGCTGGGAGCCAGGACTCCTGGGTTCTCTCTCTGGTTCTGGGAGGTGAGGGGGGGCTGGCGATTAGAGCGAGGGGTGGGGGGCTGGGAGCCAGGACTCCTGGGTTCTCTCCCCGGCTGGAGGGGGCTCACACCTGGTCCCCCCCGTGGTCCCCTGCATAGCACGGGACAGTTTGGGACCGAGCCCCAGTCCTGCTCTCTGACCCATAGACTCACCTTCCCCCCAACTCTGCAGATGTCGGGGAGCCGGAAGCCGGAGGAGCCCCCCAAGCCGCGGAAGGGTTTCAGCCTGTTGGACGCCACGCGCTGGAACCGCGGGGAGTCGCACAGTACGTGGGGGTGCCGGGGTCCCTGCCCCCACGGACCTCTCTGCACCCCCTGGCCCCGCCCCTGACACCCCCAAATCACTCCCCCTGCCGCCCCTCATGTCCTCTGACTTTCACACACCCCGGATCTGCCCTGTGCCCATGGGTCTCCCAGCCCAGATTGTCCTGCCCCGACCCCCCCGGCTCCCTGTGCGCCCCCCGGCTCCCTTTTTGACCCCCCAGCTCCCTGTGTGCCCCCCAAACTCCCCAACTGCCTGTGCATCCCCCGACCTCCCCGACTCCCTGTGTGCCCCCCAGCTCCCTTTGTGCCACCCTGACCCCCCTGGCTCCCCGTGCACCCCCAAACTTCCCAACTGCCCATGCGCCCCCTGACCTCCCCGACTCCCTGTGTGCCCTGCAGCTCCCCGGCTCCCGTGTGCCCCCAGATTTGAAGCTCTGAGCGCATCTGAAATCCCCTACTTCTGGGATGTTGTGGGGTAACTCGTCCACCCCCCACTTCTACTCTGTTCCCTCCGCCCCCCACTCTCTATGAGCCAGGCCATGCCCTGGGCCCCACTCAGCTCCCCAGGGGCTCAGGGCCCGGGGAGGGCCCTGCTGGGGTACTAGTCCCAGGGGAGCTGTGGGGCTCTGCGGGGTCCCCCCATTTCTACCCCCCCTCAGCCTGTTGCTCTCCCTCGCTCTTCTCTCTTGCAGATTCTGATTTCAGACAAAGCAAAGTCCCCGAGGGTGAAGGTACCGGCCTCCCCAGCCCCATGCATGGCCCCCCCGGGGCACCCCAGCCCGGGCCCCTGCCCCTGTAACCCCATTAACTCTCCCCACAACCAGTGTGTGTCCTTCTCACCTGGGGGGTAGGGGTCTGGGCTGCCCCCCCTAATACACTAACCCCGACACCCCAACCATCAATCACTGACCCCCCCCCACCTCACCCCCCAGCGCCCCAGCATGCAGCCGCCCG